GAGGGGAATCCCTTTTTATCTCTGCAGGTGTTAATGAACTCCCCCACCTGACCATCTTCTTGTCCCTCTAGCTCACCTTTGTGGATTTCCTCACCTATGATGTCTTAGATCAGAACCGTATCTTTGAGCCCAGGTGCCTGGATGAATTTCCAAATCTGAAGGCTTTCATGTGCCGTTTTGAGGTGATGCTCCCTGCACCTTGGTCTTACAAAAGGGGACCCCATTGTGGTAGATTCTTGCCCAATACTAGCTTTTGCCTAAAGGGATCAATAATTGGGCACCTCTAAACCTTGATGTCCTGGGAAGGTCCTGGCTTCTATACCCTGAAGGCACTGTCTACAAGAAATGGCGAAGATGGGGGGCATGGGGGGGGTCAGGCAGCATGTGAGTGTGGCTGTTTTGTAATGTGTCTGTTGGACTGGGTTAGAGTCTTTATATGGTTTGGTGTGCTTTCCCTTCAGGCTTTGGAAAAAATAGCTGCCTACATGCAGTCTGACCGCTTCCTCAAGATGCCCATCAACAACAAGATGGCCCAGTGGGGCAACAAGAGAATATGCTGAGCAGGAGGCCGACTTGCACTGCTTGTTTTTGTTCCATCCTGTCCCTAGGGGACCTGTACTCTCTCCTCTGCTCTTTTCAATAAATAGCACTTAGGCTACTGGTGTCCAGCTGGATTTCTGTTGGGAGTAAAGGCTAAAGGAGAATAAGGACATATGAATTCAATCACTGCAGTACTGATATTTCCCCATCCCACAGCTGGGTTCAAGGGTTAGAGGTTCTCGCCCAGCCCTGGAGAATGAGCACTAGAAGTAGAGGTGAGATTGCACAGCTGTAGAGAACGGGTGTGTTAAATGAGACTGGAGCCCCTGTGAAGACCTGGTGAAGATAAGCAAGTGAAATGGTGTGGTACTGTGGATGTAATAGAACTGGAGTTCAGAAACAGATTCTTATATATGTGGGAATTTAGTGTGATAACGACATTTCAAACTGGTGGACTAACAGTAAACAGGATTGGGATAATTACTTAGCAATTAAAAATAGATCCCTACCTCATACCATTCATTGAAATTAATTCATCTAGAGTTTAAGGCCCAATTTTTTAATTTTTTGTTTTTTCATTTTTTAATTGAAGTATAATCGATTTAAACATTGTGTTAATTACAGCAAAGTAATTCATTTATATACTTTTTCAAGTTCTTTTCCATTATAATTACCGGATATTGAATATAATTCCATGTGTTATACAGTAGGTCCTTGTTCATTTTATTAAGGCCCAATGTTAAACACAAAGCCATATAAGTATTAGTGAAAATGTAAGACTGTAATCGTAAGGTAGGAAAAGTTTCAGACATTTTAAAAAGCTATAAAAGGAAAGATTTATAAATTGAACTATCAAATTCTAAAAATTTTATATGACAAGGGACAATTAAGCAAAATTAAGTATCAAGTGTGATAAAGGACCAGTACAGAGACTATATAAAGAACACTTGTAAACTATTAAGGCAATTCAGTTTTTTTTTAATGGACAAAAAAACCTATGAACAAATGATTTTTGGAAATAGAAATATTAATGGTCAAAAGAAAAAAGATGTTTATAGTCCAAAAAAATGAAAATTATACCATAATTTGCTGCAGTAAGAGGTCATTTTTCCATCTATCAGACGAACAAATTTAAAGTTTATGAAGTGTTGGCAAAGCTTGGGAAAGTGATAAGGGTTTCTTGATGGTGAACTTATGAATTGGTATAGCTACTTTGGAGGACGATTTGTTAACATTGTCTAAAATTCAAATTACATCTTGCGACCCAGCAATGATGAGCTTGCTTCCTCGAACCCAGTTGAGGGAGAGAGTCTCCTGGAAAGAAGGACACTATAGTCCTATGTAATATAATCATGGAAATGACATCCCATCCTCTTTGCTGTATTTTGACAGCAGCAAATCACAAGTCCTGCCCACACTCAAGGCAAGAGGATTTCACAAGAGCGTGAGTACCAGAAGGTGGGATTATGGGGGCCATTTTAGAGTCTGTTCACCTCAGGGAAGAGGCAAGGAAATGGGAAATAGGCCCTGCAGTCCTCTGAGAAAAGAATCCGGGGATAGACAGATGACACCATGGCAACTGGAAGGGAGAAGTTTAAAAAGCAGAGGTCTGTACTTCACATGAATTCCAGATAAATTATAGAAAAATCATGTTCCAACTTTTTCTATTTTTATGTTTGTTAGAGAAAATCCATATAGCAGTTAACCTAAAACCGAGAAAGCAGTGAAGGCCACTGAGGAACAGATCAATTCCACAGGAGATGTGGCTCCCCGGGTCCCAACTGCCCCTGACTCTAAGATGGGTGGAAGAGAACGTTGACACAAGGGTTACCTTCAAGCAAAGGAGGGACGTGGATGCCCTATCATCCCAGAGACACAAAGGCTTCACAGATGTTGAGAAACTAGTATACTAGATGGTTTTGGGCGAGTAACATCAGTAAGGTGCTAACAAAACAAAAAATCTGTGATAGGTGCATTCAATTTGGTGGAGCAGTTCCCCAAAAAGTATTAGGGAAACACAACTGCATTCATTGTTGAAGGCTGAACAACTGGATTAAGGCATTTCTGCATCAGGAGGTTCAGAACTTCCGTGATTCAAGAAAAATATGTTGTAGAGTTATTTCATTGATGGGATGGGTGAAGTAGGGGACCCTGATGCGTTTAGGATATGGGTCTGCCTTTAAAGCCAGTTTAAGGGCTTATGAAACACGTGGGTCATACAGAGAGTTCACATTCCTTATCCTTCCATAATGAGCCACACGGATACTGAAGGATTTAGGGAGTTCAGTTGGATGGTACGGGAGAGGGAAGGAAGTGACATTTAGCCAGTGATTTATCTACTGTGTAAGTTTGTTCATGTCACTCCCCTGCTTAAATATGATTAATGGCTTCTTAGACCTCAAGAAAAAGACAGTCTCCTCCAAATCCTTCATAATCTGACCTCCGTTTCCTTTCCAGCTGCATCTCTTGACAGGTTCCCCACCCCCTGCCATCCCTTGCCCTGGAGCATTGGGTTCCAGCCTTTCTGAATTCCCTACTCTAGAGTCAGGCTGCTTAGTGAATGATCCTGGCTCTGCCACAGTCAACTCCAGTCTTCTGTGCCTCCGTGCCTTCTCTGACAAATGAACACCCTCTCACTGCGACCTCATGAGGAGTAAGCCAGTATTTCTCCAGCACTTTAAACAGACCAATGTTATATAAATTTATAAGCATAAATTATCGAAAAGCACCATGTTCTCTTTTACCTTCATGCTTTCAGACTTTCTGTTTCCTCTGCCTGGAATGCTTTTGCCTCAACCAGCTAAGCTGCCTAATGCATGCTCATCTCCTCAGGTAAGCTGAGCTGTCCCTACCTGCAGATGGTCGCAACAGATAACCCCTGTGGAAACTGTCAGTGATGCTCACCAAAGCTTTCTGATTGTTTTCCTTTTGGGAAAGCTTCACTCCCCTTGTGAACTTACATGTAGCCTTCTGACTTGCTTTGGCCAATTAATGCAACTAGAAATTACACATGTTTTCCAAACAGAAGCTTTAAGAGCCAGTGTGGGAGTAGCCATATCTACTTTGGACCGCTGTCATGACACAGAGCAGGTGCCAAGTGGAAGTTTGCATCAGACCACGAAAACCAGGGCCTGTTGACCACGGCAGACATGAAGCATGTGTAAGAAATAAATGTGCATTAAGCCACTGAGGTTTGGTTTATCCCAACAGACACTCCTCCACCTCCCCCTTGCTAATTGAAATGCACTGATTTTAAACCTCTGTTCCTATAGGATTCCATGTTTTCCTCCATCAGCACTTACAACACTGAACTCTAATTACTTGTTTAAATGTCTGTCTCTGCCACTGAGCTATACATTGCCTGAGAGCAGGGACTGTCTTAAACCAATGTTTATATTTAGAGCTTGTTTGTGTACGTCTGAATTTCCAGTAAATAGGTGCTGCTGTGGGAAGGACACTTGGAGGCAGACGGCCAGTGTGAGGTTACTGTCATTAGAAGGGGTGTTTACAGTGGTGCAGAGGGATGGGAATAGAACAAACAGGATAATGTTCATGGTGTGAGAGGAGTTTGAAGGAAAATTAGAATAGGTCTGTATTTTATCCTCTGTGGTGTAGTGTTTCCAATTGTACTAACAGATAATCTTTTTGTATTGTGATTGAAACCCTATCTGCTTCCTTCCAAAATTGTGTTTCACATGGGAAGGGAAGTAGAATATGTAGGAAATGCAGGGTGGCTGTTGGGCCTTTTGGACAGGACTATGCTTTACCTGGGGACTGTGGGGCTACCCGACCAAGAGGAGTCTGTTGGGAAAAGCCAGATCTGATTAAGTAGGAATATGACAGTGGGCATGTTCAGGAAGACTTGTTTTGGAATCTACCAGGACTGGACCCTCTTCTCTGCTTTCAAGTCTTGAGTTACCACATAGGGCAGGCTGGTCTCTGTGTCTGTCATAATCAAGTGGTAGGCTAATAAAGTGGGATGACAGTGAACCTGAGAATAGGGTCACTAGAGATGTGGAGACAAGAACCGATCCAGGGAGTAACTTTAGCTACTAGATATCAATGTTTGTAGATATCAATGTTTAGTATAAAAGCCTTATTATGCAGGACCTCTTTAGAATCCTCTGACCAAAGAAGGAAATCCTGTAAGCATTGTAGATAAATGCAAAATAGCTTATGTGCAAATCTGAGTACAGGCTGTTTTCTATTACATTTTAGAGCTCACCTAATTTTCCCCCTTTTCCACCTCCCATTCCCTTACTATTTCACGTAGGGTCAATTGGGAGTCCCTGACATTATGCTTTTTGTCTGTCATTTTCAAAATATTAATCTGAATGTTACCCAGAGATGCCAAACTTGGAAATAGATGCAGTAGTTGATGACACTTTGGGTTGTTCCTGTTTTGGAAGAAAGAAGATAGATGTGTTTTTGTTTGTAGAGGGATAGTTGCATTATGTTAGGCAGGAGCATCTTGTGGTGGTGGCTGTAGTGATGACTGTTTGGAAATGCACACATGGAAAAGAGTATGTATCTGTTATACATCTATACTCTGCATCTTTTTCTTTAAACAGTTTCCGTATTCATTTTTTTTCTGTGACATAAATTTAAAAACTTTTTTTTTACTTGAAGTATGGTTGATTTACATATCCTCTGCATCTTTTTAAATAGCCTTCTTATAGATGGGGAATTTCTCACATTATGAGTCCCACCTCCCCAAAGTAGAAGAGTAGAAGAATCCCTACTTCTGCTAGGGATGTTACTTCCCAGTCAAAAGATGTCATTTCAAAAACGATTTCAGTTCTAGCAATGAAATATAAATAGAAGTGTTATATGTTACTTCCAGGAAGTTTCTGTAAGAGGGAAAGAGCAATCCTCATTCTTCTTTCTCCCTCCTGTTGTTTACCAGGGCCTGTTTTGTGGCCTAATGTGATCTATCCTGGAGAATGTTCCCTGTGCACTGGAGAAGAATGTGTATTCTGCTGCTTTGGGATAGAATGCTCTATATTTGTCAATTAAGACCATTTAGTAGTATGTTACTTAAAGCCTGTGTTTCCTTATTGAGTCTCTATCTGGATGATCTGTCCATTGATGTAAGTGGGGTGTTCAAGTCCCATACTGTAATTGTTTCTCCCTTTATTTCTGTTAATATTTGCCTTATAAACTGAGGCGCTCCTTTGTTGGGTGCATAAATATTTACAATTGTTACAGCTCCTCCTTGGATTGATCCCTTGATTATTATGTTATGTCCTTCTTTGTCTCTTCTAACAGTCTTTGTTTTAAAGTCTTTTTTGTCTGATATAAGTATTGCTACTCCAGCTTTCTTTTAATTTCCATTTGCAGGGAATAACTTTTTCCATCCCCTCACTTTCAGTCTGTATGTGTCTCTAGATTGAAGTGAGACTCTTGAAGGCAAAATATATACAGGTCTTGTGTTTGTACCCATTTAGCTATTCTGTGTCTTTTGGTTGGAGCATTGAGTCCATTTACATTTAAGACAATTATTGACATGTATGTACTTATTGCCATTTTGTTAATTGAGATGGTTGGGTTTGGGGTCCAGGGTGCCATGAAGGTTGCATTGGCCTGCTGGTTCTGCTGGGCAGGACGAGGGCTCAGCTGGCCCTAGGGTAGGGATTGTCCTGCTCTTGGTGGACTCAGTGTGCAGGCTGCAGGATCAGTTTTCTTCCTTCTAGTGTCTGTCCCCTGGTGGGTGAGGTTAACGGAGACTTCCTGGCAGGAAGGGTCAGTACCTGCCGACTGGGTGGGGCTGGAACTTGGCCCTCTGGTGGGCAGAGCTGTATTTATGGGCATGTCTAGAAGTGGCTATGGGTTCAAGAAGTCTTTAGGCAGCTGTCTGCTAATGGGTGGGGCTGTGGCCCACTGAGTTAGTTATTAGACCTGAGGCATCTCAGCACTGGTGCCTACAGGCTGTTGGGTGGGGCCAGATCTTGGCACTAATAAGCCACAATGGCAGCCACCAGCAGAAGGGTTAATTCAGTTGAATGTTTCTAAATAGGTCTGTCACCAGTGTCTATGTCCCCAGAGGGAACCACAGCCACTCCCCAGTCTCCAGGTGGCTCACCAAGACCAGCAGGTAGGTATGGCCAAGGATCTCTTATCATATTACTGTTTTTCCCCTGGTTCCAGGTGTGCATGAGATTTTGTGTATGCCTTTTAAGAGTGAAATCTCTATTTCCCCCAGTCTTGTGGGGCTGCTGCAATTAAACCCCACTGGCCTTCAAAGCCAGATGCTCTGGGGGCTCATGTTCTTGGTGCCAGACCCCAGGCTGGGGCACCTGACGTGGGGCTCAGAACTCTCACTCCTGTGGGAGAATGTCTGCAGTATAGTAACTCTCCAGTTTGTGGTCACACACCAGGAGGTTATAGGATTTCATTATGTTGCAAGTCTGCCCTCCTGTCCATCTCACTGTGGTTCCTTCTTTATGTCTTTAGTTGTACAAGATCTTGTATGGTAGATTCCAGTCTTTTTCATCAATGGTTTTGCTACAGATGGATGTGATTTTGTGTGCTTGTGAGAGGGGCTGAGCTCAGGGTCTTTGTACTCTGCCAGCTTGGCTGCTTCCCTAAGGATTTCATCTTAACCAATTTTATCTTTTTAAAATAAACATTTATTTTGTAAAGACCTTTAACATTATTCCTACTGTTCTCTTTTTACTTAGTAACTGCAAGAAATGACCATCTGGACAAATGCCCAACAGGACTCTTCTCTAAAGTTTCTCCCTGTTTTAAGACTCGAGGCCGTGCCTTAATGAGGCCCAACTCCACTGTCCGGCCACTATTTGAGTAACCTGCTAATCAGATGGAATTCTGAAGAGTGCTACAATTTGCAGGTATCCTAATATAAAATGACAGATAGAGTGTGCAGCCAGGCTACACTTTGGCCCAGCAGACTAGGCCTGCCCATTTCAGATCAAGTTATCCAGTGGCCTGCTACAGCCTACTAAATGCTTAAGTTAGAGGGAGCTAATGGCTTTCCCCCAGAGCTGTAGACGTAAGTCTTCTGCACCTTGTTCTGTATCTCCAATGGCTGAGATAACTATATCCAGAGCACTTCATATAATGGCTGTAGTCCACCAGGAGCCCACACTAGCAGAGAACTCCTTGCTCACCCCTTTCGCCAGCACCCAAGAGCCCCCGGAACCATGACACAGAGTACTACAAGCCTACAGGAGGTGTCCCATGAATGCTGAATTAAGGAGGGAACCAGGCATAGAAGCCCCCCACCACCACCTTCTGGAGAGACCCCACGCTAAGGAACAGAGGTACATGAAGCAAAGACAGAAATGAGCAGGAAACATTATAATCCTCTGTCCCCTGTCCCCACCACACACGCATCCCCACCCATGGGGCCCATGAAATGGACAACAGAAGGGAAAAATGACACCCACACACACCCAACACAGTCAGTCCTGAGTCCAGAAAGCCAGGAAGGAATAAAACAGGACACAGCAGGTATGGGTAAGGCTTTACTGGGGCCAGACAGGGCTGGGCAGGAACCACACTGGGAAGCAGGCCCTGCACACAGGCCACTACTGGTCTTCAGGGCAGTGCCGGGAGCTGAGAGCAGGGCTCCATGGGCCTGGGGTCTGCTTGGGCTTCTCATACCAGAAACCACCGTGGAAGGGGAGGAGCACAGGTTGGCTTTAGTGCAGGAGGGATAACGTGAGGAGGAGAGGAATTTGCTGAAGAAAAGTTGGGAGCTGAAGCTTTAAAGGATGGATGGAAAGGAATTGGGAGGGACATAAGGGGGCCAAAAAGGCATCTAGAGTGAATAGAAGGAGAAAGAAAAAGACACCTGGTGGTGGGGGTGCAGGGAGTCCAGCTGTTCTCCAGGGCCCTGGCGCCGCAAGCACAGCACTGGCTCTGCACTCCGGCTCCTGCTCTTCCAGGGCACTACTTGTTGCCCCACACAGCAGTCTTTAGAAACATAGGGTTTGGGAGGAAGCGGCTGGACTTCATGTAGGCAGAGATCTTCTTCAGCCCCTAAGGGAGGGAAAAAGGAGGCCAGACCTCAGGTCTGCTGCCCCACTGGGGCTCAAGGAGCTCTACCCAATTTGAGACCCTAGTCCAACCCTTCCACGTGGGGCCAAGTGGTCGAACAGAAGACAGTCTTCCAGGGTTCCCCAGCTCTGGAAAGTCAACTCTTCTAATTTTCATATGATAGCTTAATAAGACTGAACACATATGGAGAACATACACACAGCTTGTTGCTGTGTATTCACTCGAGACTATGATGTAGGTTTAGAATCTCTACTTGACTACCCGACAAGAGAGGTTGTACTATCACCATTCATCAGAAGGGAAACAAGCACACAGAGGTTAAGCACCTCCCTCCTGCTCACACTGCTCATAAGTAATATGGCTAAAATGCAGCCTGGCACTCTCTCTCCTCTTCAGCTCTTTCAGCTGCACTCCCTTCCTGACAGCTGTAAGCAAAAAGAACAGAGAGGCTCAGTCATCAGCCAGTTATACAGAGGGTTCAGTGACAACCCAGGGCAGTTGCCTGAGGGGAATTCAGGATGGAAAAAAAAACCAAGACGAAGCATTCTATGTTTTGGATGCAGGGCCCCTAGACAGTTAAGATACGTATCTAAGGAAGAATTCCAGTGACCCCAGATTCGTGCATCTCTCCATACATAGAAAAGCACTAAAATCATTAACTTGAGACATCTCTTTTTTGATGACTAGCAATCTTTTACCAAGACATTTACTTGACTACTCCTTTTTCACAGATCTCCACCCTTACCTCTTCAGAGCAGTTCCTCAGAGCTCTCTGAGAGGCTGTCTCCTGAGGTATAGTCTCAGTAAGGTCCCCAAATAAAACTGAAACTCACTCCTCTGACGTTGTGTGGGGTTTTTTTTCCAGTTGGCAGCTTTGGCAACCAGGAGGGGACACAGAATAGACTTCTCTTCTTCTCTTCCTCACCTGAACGTTACAAGGATGTGGAACCTTGATGCGAGCAAGGCCCCTTGTGCTCATTCACTTCTTCAGCAAGTCTGACAAATCTGGGTGAGTCTCTCCTGATCTTAGTTCTCCCATCTTGGTTGATGATGCTGAGTTTTTCTTCAGTGGTGGATAAAAATTGTACCTGATTCAGCTGAGAGATACTGAGAAAGTGCCCATTTGAGAGAAACTGAGAAATTTTTGCCCAGTTGAAGACACTGGGAAGGTTGGGAGTGGTTGATTAGGAAACGGCTGTTGGCATATTTCCTTGAATTAACTACTTTAACAGAGTTTGTCGGAATAAAAGTGTAGATACCATATGAGAGCTCTTAGCTCCAAAGATAAGGAACATAGCTCCTCCTGGTCAAGTATGACCTTCTCAGGCAACTGAGAAACCTGTGGGAGTGGTGGAGTGCAGAGCTAGAGACACATGCAGGCTGAAAGTAAGGGAATAAAAAAAGATATTCCATGCAAACAGAAAACCAAAAAAAAAAAAAAAAGAAACTGGAATAGCAATACTTATATCAGACAAAATAGATTTTAAAATAAATACTGTTACAAGAGACAAAGAAGGACACTACATAATGCTTAAGGGATCAATCCAAGAAAAGGATATAACAGTTGTAAATATATATGTACCCAACATAGGAGCACCTCAATATATAAGGCAATTTTTAACAGACATAAAAGGAGAAATCAACAACAACACGGTAACACCCCACTTACATCATTGGGCAGATCATCCAGACAGAAAATCAATAAGGAAATACAGGCCCTAAATAGCACAATAGACCAGAGGGACTTAATTGATATCTATAGAGCATTCCACTTGAAAGCAACAGAATACACGTTCTTCTCAAATACACATGGAACATTCTCCAGAATCGACCACATGCTGGCCCACAAAGCTAGCCTCAGCAAATTTAAGAAAATTGAAATTGTACCAAGCATCTTTTCTGACCACAATACTATAAGGTTAGAAATCAACTACAAGAAGAAAACTGCAAAAACTGCAAACACGTGGGGGATAAACAATATGCTACTAAACAACCAATGGCTCACTGAAGAAATCAAAGAGGAAATCAAAAAAATACTTGGAGACAAATGAAAATGAAAACAATGATATACAATCTCTGGGATGCAGCAAAAGCAGTTCTCAGAGGGAAATTTATAGTGATACAAGCCTACCTCAGGAAACTAGAAACATCTCAAGTAAACAACCTAACCTTACACCTAAAGCAGCTAGAGAAAGAACAAATAAACCCCAAAGTTAGTAGAAGAAAAGAAATCATAAAGATTAGAGCAGGAATAAATGAAATAGAGACTAAAAAACAATAGAAAAGATCAATGAAACTAAAAGCTGGTTCTTTGAAAAGATAAACAAAATTGATAAACCTTTAGTTGAACTCATCAAGAAAAAAAGGGAGAGGTCCCAAATTAATAAAATCATAAATGAAAAAGAAGTTGCAGCCAACACCACAGAAATACAAGGGATCATAAGAGGCTACTATGAGCAACCACATACCAACAAAAAGAACAGCCTAGAAGAAATGGATAATTTCTCCAAAAGGTACAATCTGCCAGGACTGAACCAAGAAGAAATAGACAATATGAACAGATCAATTACCAGTGCTGAAATTGAATCAGTCATTTAAAACTCCCAACAAACAAAAGTCCGGGACAGAGGTCTTCACAGGAGAATTCTACCGAACATTTAGAGAAGAGTTAACACCTATCCCTCTGAAACTATCCCAAAAAATTGCAGAGGAAGGAACATTTCCAGACTCATTCTACGAGGTCATCATAACCCTGATACCAAAACCAGACAAAGATATCATAAAAAGAAAATTACAGGCCAGTATCACTTATGAACATAGACACAAAAGTCCTCAACAAAATACTAGCAAATCGACTCCAGCAGTGCATTAAAAGGATCATACCCCATGATCAAGTGGGATTTATCCGAGGGATGCAAGGATTTTTCAATATCTGCAAATCAATCAATGTGACACATCACATTAACAAACTGAAGAATAAAAACCATGTGATCATCTCAATAGATGCATAAAAAGCTTTTGATAAAATTCAGTACCCATTTATGATAAAAGCTCTCCAGAAAGTGGGCATAGATGGAACATACATCAACATAATAAAGGCCATATTTGACAGACCCACAGAAAATATCATACTCAATGGTGAAAAGCTAAAAACCTTCCTACTAAGATCAGGAACAAGACAAGGATGCTCAGCCTCATCATTTTTATTCAACATAGTTTTGGAAGTCCTACCCACAGCAATCAGAGAAGAAAAAGAAATAAAAGGAATACAAATTGGAAAGGAAGAGATAAAACTGTCACTGTTGGCAGATACACAGGAAATCCTAAAGACACCACCAGAGAACTACTAGAGCTCATCAATAAATTTAGTGAATTTGCAGGATACAAAATTAATATACAGAAACCTGTTGCATTTCAATACACTAAAAATGAAATAACAGAAAGAGAAATTAAGGAAACGATCCCATTTACCATAAAAAATAAAATACCTAGGAATAAACCTACCCAAGGAGGCAAAAGACTTGTACTCTGAAAACTATAACACACTTTTGAAAGAAACTGAAGATGACACAAACAAGTGGAAAGGTATACTGTATTCTTGGACTGGAACAATCAATATTGTTAAGGTGGCCATACTACCCAAAGCAATCTATAGATTCACTACAATCCTATCAAATTACCAATGACACTTTTCACAGAGCTGAAACAAGAAATGTTAAAATTTGTATGGAAACACAAAAGACCCCAAATAGCCAAAACAATCTTGAGAAAGAATGGTGCCGGAGGAACCAGGTTCCCTATCTTCAGACTATACTACAAAGCTATGGTAATTATAACAGTATAGTACTGGCACAAACACAGACACATATTTCAATAGAATAGGGTAGAAAGCGAAATAAACCACATACTAATGGCCAATTAATCTACAACAAAAGAGGCAATAACATGCAATGGAGAAAAGACAGTCTCTTCAATAAGTGGTGCTAGGAAAACTGGACAGCTGCATGTAAAAGAATAATATTAGCACATTCTCTAACATTATGTACAAAAATAAACTCAAAGTGGATTAAAGATCTAAATATAAAGTCTGGATACTATAAAACTAGAGGAAAACACAGGCAGAATATTCTTTGACATAAGTTGCAGCCATATTTTTCTAGCTCTTCCACTAGAGTAATGGAAACAAAAGCTAACATAAACAAACGGGACCTAACTGAACTTAAAACCTTTTGCACAGCAAAGGAAATCATAAACAAAATTAAAAGACAACCTACAAAATGGGAGAAAATAATTGCAAACAGTGCGACTGACAAGGGATTAATTTCCAGAATATACAAATGGCTCATATAGCTCAAAATCAAAATACAAACAACCCAATCAAAAAATAGGCAGAAAATCTAAATAGATATTTCTCTAAAGAAGATATATAGATGGCCAACAAGCACATGAAAACATACTCAGCATCACTAATTATTAGAGAAATGCAGATTAAAAACTACAACGAGGTATCACTTCAAACCAGTCAGAATGGGCATCGTCAAAAAATCTACAAACAATAAATGCGGAGAGGGTGTGGATAAAAGGGAAACCTCCTACACTTTTGGTCGGACTGTAAATGGCGCAGTCACTATGGAGAACAGTATGAAGGTTCCTTAAAAAACTAAAAATAGACTTACTATATGATCCATCAATTCCACTGCTGTGATATATATCCACAAAAGACAAAAACTCTAATTTGAAAAGATACATGCACCCCAGTGTTCACAGCAGCACTATTTACAATAGCCAAGACGTGGAAGCAACTTAAGGGTCCATCTACAGATGAATGGATGAAGATGTTTATATATTACTCAGTCATAAAAAAAGAATGAGATAATGTCATTTGCAGCAACATGGATGATTTGGAGATTTTCATACTAAGTGAGGTAAGTCAGACAGGGAGAGACAAATATATGATATCACATATGTGGAATCTAAAAAAATGATACAAATGAACTTATTTACAAAATAGAAATAGACTCAGACATAGAAAACAACTGTCTGGTTACCAAAGGGGAAAGGGCAGAGGGGGGATAAATTAGGAGTTTGAGATTAACAGATACATATTACTATACAGAAAACAACTAAACAACAAGGACCTACTATATAGCACAGGGAACTATATTCAATATTTTCTAATAAACTATAATGGAAAAAATCAGAAAAAGAATATATATGTGTATATATATGTATGCATAACTGAATCAGAATGCTACACACCTGAAATGTAAATCAAATATACTTCAGTTTAAAAAAATGAAAGCATATTTTGTTATGGAAAAAGATCATGCTTTTGTTCCAGAGCTGGGTATTTCTAAATGGAAAGGAAAATAAGGGACAAAATAATATGAATATAGAAAGCTGTAAAAGGTTTGTGAGAAAAAAGGAAACTTTTGAAAGTAATTCTATGTGTGGTCTGTACTGGCTAAGATTAGAATGAATGTAATTAAGCAAGTAAATTTCAACATTAAATATGAGGTGGAGCAAAACTAGAATTTAATTTTCTCTCTGTTAAGAGAACAAAGTTTTCTTGAAATATTGATCTGCTTTTGGGAACGAAGTATAAAAAGTTTCTTTACCTTTTAAGTGATCTACTATGTAATTTGACTTCAAAATCTTTTATTGTCTCTTTGGTTAAGTGAAAACATATTGTTTCACTGGGACCTATGATCCTACTTGACAAACTGCTTTGAAAACTTTTGCTATCTTTGACAAACTTTCCTAAATCAAATTCTAAATGAAATTCTTTTGATCTCTAGCCAGCTTTGGAATGCTTCAGAGGACCCCTGAAACATCTCAAAGAGAGTTACTAAAATAATTATACTTCTTTGGCATGTTAAATTACATAAGAAATGTTGGTAAGTGAGTTATAATAAACCCTCTTAGGTTATATTATATGGATAGTTATTATTATATAAAATTTGAAATGTCCTAGTATGTTATCACTCATAATTCTAGTTATTATCTTAGGTGTTGTATGGCACAGAAATAACCAAATTTCATTGACAATTATATTGTAATCCGATCTTCAGCCACGCCATTTTAAGTCTTTTGCCATTTATGGAAAGTTACTGTTTTACTCTGATGCTTTTTTGAAATACAGATCTTCAAGAAGATTCATAAAAAGGACTTTTTGACAAATATGTTTCAGATGATTCCACTGAACTGGGTGAGATTATGAAACTCTAATGGAAAACCTGATGGCTTAATAAAACTACTAACAAAAAAGTCAAAGTCAACAAGAATTAATTACCTGGGACTGAATGAATTGGTAAATATGACTTACAATGTTATGGGTGTTTGCCTGAAATATTACTGGCTTTCAATCTTTGTTTCCAAGATATGAGGAAACCTTTTCTCTCATGCCAACTATGATTTGCACAAGTTGATAAAGTATACATTTGTAACGAAGATGAAACATTTATCTTTTGCTCTCTACCTGATCCCTTCCCTCTGGACGTGGTGGCTTACCGTGATCTGCATTACAACCAGTCATACTAATCATTGTCATCATTTGTTCTCTCTTTGTTATTTTCAAACTATTTATGCTTTATCTCCCTCATTGCTGAACTATGACCTTAAAAATACTACTACCTATATTATTTATATCCTGACTATTTTATAAGATTGTTGTTTCTTGCATTACCCTCTGTGCAGCCAGTTCAATAACAAAGTGAATGATGGCTAAACCTCTTGGGGCAATCAATCACATATATAGCTCTATATTAAATTCACTGGAATGATGTGACTCTAGATGTGGGTGGAGGCAATAAGGGAAAAAGATTTCTTGGATCATTATAAACTACGTAGTAAGACATACAACCCAGAGAATTTTTTGGTTATTAACAGGGCCTGATTCAGATATAGCACAGGAATGACCTATCAGTGAAATCCTGTCCTTAAGGAGGAATGAGCCTTCCTATAACCATGAGACAAATTAGTCATCAAGTGCCTCCAAAAATTTGGTTAAATTTATGACCAAAAAGCAGGAAGCTGTAAACAAAAAGAACAGTCTCCCTCATTACCCCATTAAAGAAAGGGTTAAAGTGCAACCCCCTGCAGTCACCCACTGACAGTGCCCCCTGAGGGGAATTCAGGATAAAATATTCTGGGTTTGGATATAAAGGCCCCTTAGAAACTCAGGATCGATATCTTAGAAAGAATCTCATTGACCTCAGATTCATGTTTTAGAAAAGCACCAAAATCATTAAATCAAGTATTTGTTTCCTGATGATTAGCAGTAATCTTTCACCAAAATACATGCTTAACTATATGTATTTGCCTGTCAAAAAATTCAGAATCCACTGTCTTCTTCCCTGCTTCTTCAGAGCATTCCTCAGAGCTATTTAAAAGGCTGTCTCCAAGGCTGTCTCCAAGGCTGTATTTCTCAGTGAAGTCCCCAAATAAAACGGAAACTTAATTGCAATTGAGTAGTGTGGGTTTTTTCCAGTCAACATCTCCCCACAGAAAGACTTGTTTTTCTTATTCTGCAAAAACATTCTCTTTCAGAGGGTGGCTCTGGGCTTCCCAGGCTTTGGCCACAGAATGACCTCTAGCACAATAAAGGGGCTCAGAAAGTGCCTGAGAAGCTTGCAGAACAGACCAGATCTCACCCTATGACTCAGCAAAACTTGGATGAAAGGTGATAGGAGGGTAGGAACCAGCAAGGCCAGGCCAGGCTCTAATTACTCCACTTAAAGCACAGAGTTCAATTGCCTGGCCTGACAACTCAGCCGACTCACTGGGCCGCATCCTACCCTATCCCCGGTCCTGCTGCAGCCAACTTGGCAGTATGACACTCAGGTGTATCTGTACACCATCTTCCCAAGACAGAAAGTGTCCAGTAAGTTATAAGATGCAAAGAACATGGGACTGCGTGTACGCAGCAGCTCAGGTCCCAACAGACCACACACTGCAGCTCACAGCTGTCCCCACCCTCCCAGTCAGGCAGTGATGCCAGCTCTTGCAAAATCAGAAACGCTGATCAGCCTGGACCAGATCCAGAGATGATGAGAAGTAGCTGAGAAAGCAGATTTCGTGGTGGGAAGTGGGAAGGGGAAACAGACTGTAGGCTGAAAAAACCTATTGGACTAATGGCCCAAATTCCTAAATCTGTCATAGAGCAGACTTTGTTGTTCTCCAGTGGTTGACTGAGGGTGACCGATGATGAGCTGTGAGGTGAGGTCAGGCTGTCCTCCTCCAGCACCAAGATGGTACCACACACACCACACAGCTCAGTATTCCTGTAGTTCTCCAACCGCACTGAGCCCCAGAGGGTGGGGGCCAGGCCTGTGTTACATCTACATCCCCCTGTGCCTGATACAGTGCCTCACAGAGAGGAGAAGATCAGATCAGTGAACATGACTCAAAATAAATGTACTATCCCATCTTCCAGGCAGAAGAAAGGAAGAAGGGAAGCGAGACAGGGAGGGAAAGAAGTGCCCACCATAAGAGATGTCAGGATAAAATCCTTCCACAGGACACCTGCATACATACTCAAATCCCAGCACCGACTACAGTCCTGGGAATCTCAGTACAACCCGAGACAGGATCCCATTGCTGCAGAGCCCCCTGGAGATGGGGAGTAAAGTATTGTCTGTGTCTCTGGTACTTAATATCCATCCTACCGTGTCTCAACTCAACTCTACTAATTTCAACTACATACAAACTCCTGAAGGTTCTGCTTCATCCACACTGACAAGAGCTGTGGAACCAGCTGGTAGAAGGACCAGAGCTTTTCCTTTCAGGGCAGGAAGGGAGAATCAGTGACTGCTGCCCATAGACACCAGGTGCTCTGACTGGGAGCCCAGCACAGCCTGTATTTGCTCTGTGACCTTCAGAAATTACCCTTTCAGCTTATTCCTTATCTGCAAAATGGAGTTGATACTTCTTCTGTATGAGGAATGTTAGAAAGGTAGAACTGGACATAATACATGTAAAGTACTGAGCACAGACAATGCCATCAACCGAGTCCTCAATAAATGGTAGGTAGTCTCCATTTTAGCTCCAGGACAAGAAGCATCAGAGAGAAGAGGGAAGCAAAAAGATACAAATATTAGGAGGATCAGGGGAATCACCTCAAAGCGGCTCATGAAGTCTTTCAGGTTTGGGAATTCATCCAGGCACTTGGGCTCAAATATGCGGTGCCAGTCAAGAGTGTCATAAGCCAAGAAATCCACAAAGGTGAGCTGCAGGAAGGCAAAGGAGGAATGGGCACCAAACTCTGAATCTGGAAAAAATGACAACTCCCTGCCCCTCAAAGCCGACCCCCTTACCTTGTCTCCTGCAAACCAAGTCCTCTTCCCCAGAAACTCTGAGAAGAGCTTCATCTTTTCAGGGATCTCTTTCAAGAAACCTGGCTTAAGCTTCTCCTAAGGCACAAAACAGCTGTTACGAGCCTCAGACACAGACTTCCTGGGCAGAGAGCAGGCCTCCCGGGGCTGTGCCTGATCCCAGATGCCAGGTGAGCAGCCATGTCCCCTGACAGCACCTGGGTTGGTGCCCAGGCTCCAATTTAACCCACCTGTGCTCACTAGGAACCGCTGCCCATCTGTGAGGGATGATGGGAAGGCAAAGGGCAAAACCACACTGTCCCTGAACCTGTCACCACTCATCTCCAACCACCGCCCATGGGTCAGAGCAGCAGTGCTGGGAGACCTGGCAGAGCTCAGGATTCAGACCTCAGGCAGATGTAATAGTACAATGACCCAGGAAAGACACTGAAAGTTCTAGTAAGTGGGTGATAGAAATGGTGTGGACACCTGAGTGGTTTCTGGACAGCTGAAGACAATTTGAGAGGTTGAAAGAAAGGAGGGAGGAGAACAAAGTCTGATTCCAAAATACCTACTAGGCAAATGTGTGCCTGAGATGCCAAGGACAAGGTGCTGGTCTAACACGGTAAACACCCTGTCTAGGAACTGAATTTTCACCCTAGGGGGTCTACCCTATAACTGAGTCAGAATTTTCATTTCATACACAGGGGGTTATGAGGATCACTCTGGGGACTTTATAGGGACCAGCTTGGTGGATCAATAGCTCTAAGGAGTTCAAATGGCAAAGAAGAAAAAACAGTGTAGATGGGACCATGTCCACCCTTTCAAACCCTGTCCAGCCCACCAGTCCAGTGGGAGGGGACTCACAAAGTCAGGGTGGTAGCAGAGCTCGCCCAAACTCAAGCGCACATCCATAGCCTGGTTCTCCAATATGTCCACACGAATCTTCTCCTCCTCTGTCTCCCCACCTGTGTCCACACAACAGAGGCTCACCCTCAGCATCCCACCCTAGGAGGCCCAGGGGCATGGTCACCTGTTCTCTGCCCCGACCCCCAGCCCCACTCACACATGTTGTGCTTGCGAGCAATGTAGCGAAGGATAGCGTTGCTCTGGGTGAGCCTGTGAGCCCCATCAATTAGGTAGGGCAGCTGCAAGAACAACAGGGCAGGTTGCTTGGGCCACCAGGCTCCCCTGCACTCCCTCCCTTGAGCAAAGGCGGAGATGAAATCTGGTACTCACAGGGCCTGTCCCATGGGAGGCACTAAACAATATACTGTACTATAACTAAATGAGCTGGGACATAGAGCATCACTGAAAGGCAGCGAGAGAACCAGGGAGCTGAGAGGCTGAGCAGAAGGCACAAGATTCTGAAACCTCTAAGCTGGGAAAGGAGACAGAGCAGTAGCACCGTCCACTTTCCCCGAGAGCACCCCCATCCCCAGCACCTACATTGGGGAAGTCCAGGCCCAGCTTGAATTTTTCGTTCAGCCACTGGCTTCTGTCATAGTCAGGAGCTGTGGTAAAAAAAAAAATGCAGTGAACCAAACCTGTCCAGAGTCTGACCCTCTTTCCTGGGGAGACCTACTAAGGAGTCAGAGGCCAGTCCCCTAGACTGGTAGATCTGGAATCTGAACTCTAAGTCTCACATTCCAGGTTTATGGGGAAAGCACACTTACAAGGTGGGACATATATGATTAAGGCTTGCATAGTGTTTGGACAAGCCCTAAGGCAACCCATGCCAATGGCTGATATAGGTGCCAATAATCAGCTCTCATGTCCTGCCTTGGAGACCAGCTACACCCTTAAATGGTTTGGGAAGGGGCAGGCCTCTGATTCAACTGTTGGAGTGCCGCAGAGCCAAACAGCAGCAACCAGGACAGGGGATGCTTAGCATGAAATTAGCATGAGTTGGGCAGAAGTCAGAACACACAAGGATGCCATTACCGTCCCCCATCCTGTAAGTTTTCTCCTCATAGACTGAGTCTGTGTACTCCAGGAGCAGGCGGATGGCGTGACCCAGCTGGGAGAGATGGCCAAGGCAGAGGTCAGATGTGAAGTCCTGACTGCCTGACTTTCTCTGTTCCAGTACACATCCCACACCCCCCAAATCCCCCCACCCCCACCCCAAGCAGTCGCCCCTCACCCCCCCACACACACAGCCAGTTAGAAGGTCCAGCTGAGGGATGGGGTTCTGCTCCAGCAAGCCCTGTAAAGTTTGTGGTTAAACAGATCCTCAGCTGTGCAGCATTCCCCTGTTTAGCAGCCTCCATCCCACCTGCCCTAGTGAACCCCTCGCTTACCCCGCGGATGTCCCAGTAACCCAGAATCATAGGCATGGTGCCAGTTACGACACTCTGAGTTGAGAGACTTCAGGGAACTGGGCTTGAAATTTATCCTCCGACCTGGGGGTGAAGGCGGCGCCGGAAGCATCCGCCCCCCTTCTCGGCCCCGCCCCCAGCGCCCTCAGGTCACACCACTACCCTTGTCAGCTGGTGCCCCAGGTGGGCGGGGTGAGAGCTATTTCAGTCTCCTAGCAGCAGCGACTCCGGAGCCAAGCTCCTACAGGACAAGGGCCACCTGGGTCGGGCTTGCCTGCTTCGCGCCCCAAGTCAGACCTCAGCTAAGGGAGTTAGCAGCGCACTCGCACTTGGGGAAACAAGCTTGAATCTTAACAAGAGCAAGGCTCCTCCCCCTCCCCTTCCCTCTGAAGTGCCTCTCAAATTTAACCCCCTCGCTGCTCAATCCCCTGGACTCAAGAAGGCTCTGACTGCCAAGTTAAGACCAAGAGTGGGGCCCCTCAAATCGAGAGGTTAGTCAAAACCTGTCACAGGAAGAAAAATAATCCTGACAGCAGCTAGTCTTCCAGACAGGCAATCAAGGAATAAGAAAAAACACTCAGACAAGGGGCAGGGAAAGAAAATGTGGTCTTGGTGTTTTCCTTTCAGGGGCTGAGGAGGACCCAGCCCTCCAGTCACGTGCCTACCAGTGTTAAGGACCAAATGTAAAACAATCCAGTAAGTGTATGGCCTCATTGCTGAATCCAAATCCAGACCAGGCCCAGCAGAGAGGATATCCAGGTACAGTTCAGAGATGCCCTGACAGCCAAGTTACATGGACCTCATCTTGACTGGCACAGCGACAGGGAGTGTGGTGGTCACAGGGGGAATATGACTGAGGGAGAAGAGCTGTCCTCGGAGCAGTCAGGTGGCTCAGCTGCTGGAGAGGGTGGCCAGAGCAGTGTGACCAGCCATGAGCCTGGAGGACTGCCCTCAGGACCATAATCAGAGGGGCCCAGCACACCTTTGGTTGCCCAAGTCGTTGGATTCCAGCCCTGATCCTGGCTCCTGACCCCTGTGTGATTTTGTGTTGGAGAGGGTAGCTCAGGTGTCCTTTGAAGTCACTCTGTAATCTGTGACCTGTGGTACAACCTGCACCAGAGCAATGTCCTACCTGCCAACCTTCTACTCTGAAGGCTGAAGATTATTTCAAAATTAAGGGGATAGCACATAAGTTGGCATGTGGTAGCTTTCCTTTCTTTAAAGGATATTTCAGAATACTGGATATGTAACAACAGTTACAAGGACATTTTTTTAAAAATGGGTTTTACAAGTTGAAACATAGAGTTACTATACTTCCAAAAAATAAGTTTAAAATTACATAACACTTTGTTAGGGTAGAAAGTTATGAACCCAGTATTAAACACAGGTTTCAAATACCCAAAATAGAGTGTGGAGTCAGGGTTGAGGAGGACAAATAGACTTCCTGTAATCCCTGTGAAATCACAGTCACAGGTCTGCGCTTCTGCTAAGCTGGGGAGCTGGGAGGGTGTGTCACCAGAGACCAGCAGAGCTCTGGCCCTGTGGCAGATGCACCCCAGACATTCAGACCTTGTCAGGCCTCTGGGCTCCAGGTCTGGGTCCAGGCTCAGGATGCAGCTCAGGGTCAGGCAGATGCCCTTGCTGGTTTATCCACAGGGAGGCCACGGTGGCCACGCACACACAAACCTGCTGCCCCTCTTAATACTTAAAATTTTCATCATATAAAGGAGCTGTCATGATGAGTTTTATACAGCTTGAAGTTGGAACACATACATGACTAGATTCCCACTGAGAAAATGGCTTTTTTAAAATCACATTAAACAGCATAAGAACATTTAAACTACTTAGAACAGATACTGTTCTGTGAGCATTCATGCATCCAGCCATTCTATTTTTATAAAACCATCATTGAGATGCTGTCATCTGGCAGGAACCGTGAGTAAGACAAGTAACAAGTGCTAGCCATCAGCGGGGAAATACAGGGAGAGATTTTTAAAATATAGAACAGATTTTAAGTGTTCAAACTCTGAGAGGCAGTGAGAGAGAGGGACTTTGAATGCAGGAGAAAGAGGCCATGTCTGTTAGGACAAGGAACTTTGGAGACAGGGATGGGCCCAGAGCACAGGTGGCCCCACCAGAAGGAAGAGGACAGTTGTGCAGAAGGAGGAGCGGGACTGGCCCAGCAGACTCTCAAACAGTCCCACAGATGCAGAGGACCAGACTGTGTGTGCAGCAGGTCTGGGAAGAGCAATATGGGGCCGTGGGACCAGGGAGAGCAGACAGTGGGCTGAAGCTTGTGACTGTAGCCAGTGGCTGCCTGGCTGAGATTCAGTGCCAGCGTTGCCACATTTTCTGGATTTGCATGTGCTCTCTCTTGACTGTACAATGTTGACAAGTTCCAATATTTTACAGAACTCCCTGTGCAGGACATCAAAACATACCGCGTCCAAAGTCCAGTCCCCCGGGCCTGCCTCTAGTCTGACTCTGGGCTGCATCCCCTAATTCCCTCCAGCTGCACTGCTGACCTTCTGAACGCTCCAGAAATTCTGTATGAAATAGCCTCAGTATACAAAACTGTATGTATAGAAATAAACACAAAAGGTAGAATTAAAATGTGTCCTACTTCTTAGTATTGCTTTTTTGTTTTTTACTATTTGTAAATTTTGTCTCTGTAAGTTTAGGAAATCCAGGATATAAAGAATATTTCTTTAAAAATAGGAAAATAAAAATAACCATCGACAAGATACTGCCAAATTGTACATTAGACAAAAGTTTTCTGCTTGCTTATAATATTTTGAATAAGGAAAGGCAGACAAACTAGGGTTGCTAGAATTTAGAAAGGAATCAAGTTCAAGATGAAAAATATAGAAAACAAAAAATAGTAATAAGAAGATAATATCCCATTTAAACAAATGTGTTCAAACTTCATTTTGAACTGTCTTCATTACCACATGTTGCCTCTTTTTTTAAGGAGTGAGCTATTTTGTTCTTCTTTTAGAATCGCCTTTTATATTACACATCTACAATTCTAGCTTTAATATAGCTCTCCCCTTTTACTTTGAGGGTCTAAATCAGGAGTCGGGGCACTGAGGCCACCTGGTTATGAGGTTATGAGGGGACAGCCCCATCCACTCCCTTATGTCTGTGGCTGCTTTCACACAATGATAAGGGTGAGCAATTCTATCGGAGACCTTATGCCCACAAAGCCAAAAATATTTACTGACTTATCAGTTTCATTAACTTTTAGCTTTACTGGACTTTTTTATGTTACCAGTTTTATACATATATAATTTTTTTTTACTAATCTTTCTCTTTTAAAGATTTTTAACATTATTCCCACTACTCCCTTTTTATTTAATTACCAGAAGTGACTGTGTGTACAAATACCCAACAGGACTCCTCTCCAAAGCTTCTCCCTGTTTTGAACTAAGAATCGAGGCTCGGCCTTAAGAAGGCCCAACTCCAAATTCCAGCCGCTGTTTGAGGAACTTGCTAATCAGATGGTCATCTAATGAGTCCTGCTGCTTTGCTGGTCCCCTAACATAAAATGTCCACACCACCTCCTGACTGCATAGGCTGACTACACTCTGGCCCAGCACCCTACACCTGCCCATTTCAGGTCAAGTTATTTAATGGGCAGCTACAGTCTTATTAATGCTTAAGTTAGAGGGAGCTAATGACTTTGCCCCAGACCTGTAGATTTAAATCTTCTGAATTTTGTTAACTACATCCAGAGCTCAAATACCTTATAATGGCTGCAGAGTGTTCCAGGCTTTTAACTAGAAATAGTGCTTTCAAATTTTCCACCTTTCACCAAACACTTATTATGTACCAGGCAGTGTCATAGATACAAGGGATATGAAGTCGAGTAAGACATGGATTCTCTCAATGAATTTGTGGTCAATTTGG